ATGCCTTGCTTGTTGGTTTTCTGTTGAAGGAGAAGTCTTTAATATGAAGTCTGTCTACGTTCTTGGGGCAGTTTGTTTTGCTGATATGTATACTCCAGTCCTGAAACAGAGGTGGTCACAAGCAGTACATGAGATGCCACTTTTTTCAGGAAACTCGGTTTAAACAGCAATACACAGTCACCCGGACAGCAATTCCACTTCAAGAATTAGAGAAATTAAGGTAGAGAACAAACTCCCATTCTCCTCCCACAGTTTTCAAAAAGAGCAATATCACAGCATTTCTTTCAGGACTAAAATTTTGCTTGTGGTCTTGAAAAAGAACTTTTAAAGCCACAAGTAATAGTGCCATCCAGTGATCTCCAACATAAGTGTATCAAACGTTTCTAAATTTGGTAATGTTTGGAATCGCCTTACTTTTGAGTGCTTTATAATGAAAGAGTCTTTGCTCTTAATATAATCAACTAAGTGTATTACATTCCTCATGTTATAGTGTTGTGTAGGAAATATTGAGTTGCTATAAATAATAGATTTGGGAGAGATTTGCAATTGAATATTACCAAGTTCTATCAAATTGTAGCAAGACACAAGTACATTATACTGGGTTCATTGTAATTACATACTGTAGAATAAATAGTATGGGTAAGTCGTAAGTATATGCCACCAGAGGAAAACTTTAATTAGGAAAGATTGAGGTTAACTGGTAATTATAGCTGAACAGTTCACGCCTCTATAGTTAACGGTTGAGTCAGTGTTTCCAATATAAACTATTATTTTCTGGAGTTTATATTCACTCATTCAGAGATGTACATGGTTGCATCCTAGGGACAATTATTTTCTTGATGACCCAGTTTATAAAACATGTAGTAATAATAATTTAGGAATAAAAGGCTTCTATAGGCATGTAAGCCTCAGATTGTTGCTAGCCAGGCATAGTACTGTCATGGGAAGAAGTCCAGCTCAGCCTCATACATAGGATATTAACCATAGAATTTCTCAGGAATTACATAAGCAAAATAAAGCATGACCCTTGTTTAGTACTGTAAGTAACACTGTTTGTCTAGAAATATTCATAGAGCATGTATCCAGAGCACACTGGAAAGATCTAACTCAAATTTCAGTTGGAAAAGACTCAGTTCAAATTCATTATGTTATTGCATGGCTCTATGTTTATACTTATTTTATCTCTGAATCTCTCAAAGTTGTGCTAGACACTTCATAAAATGAACAGAACTATTTTCTCCTCCCCTGTCAACCTGTTAAGTGCACTGTAAGTGGCAGCAGACCACATGTTCAACTTGGTACCGTAAAATAGTAAACCGTCCACAAAGATGTTCCATATATGATATAGAACATCTTTCTGTCTGATCTGTATGGAGTCTTAAATTGAATGTGTGGCATACTTCAGTCCCCATGCTGGGAATCAGATGCAGCCTCTCATTTCAAAACCCTGGTCTGCACCACTTCTGATGCTGGGGGTCAGTCCTAAACCAGCTGGGGCTGTCAGATTCATGTTTGGGCTACACTAGCATGTTGGCACATGTGGAGCTTGGGATCATGATGCTGGGTTCTACACATGCTGACAAGTTGAAAGGGTGCCATTGGCTGCAACCAGCAGGCATGACTGGGTTCTGATCTGATCTCCCAAACTGCATGTCCTTCCATGTAGGGTTATGCAAAACTTTGGATCATGATTTGGATTCAGGGATGATTCAGAGGCTGAATCTATGAATCCAAATGGAATCACTGGAAGCTTTAGGCTTTCCAAATTGATTCGGAAAAGTTTCAGTGATCCAGCCGTAGGGTATAATAAGGAATCAATGAAACTTTGGAATCAATGATAACTTTGTTGTCTTTTGGATGATTCAAATGAAACATGCAGGGATTGTAGCCTCTGCTGAGAGCATGATATGTGCCAAGTTTCAAGGTGCTAGATGCAAGGGGTTCTGGAAAACTGCACCTCAAAGTCCTGAAAGCAAAACTCATGCTGTGTGTGTTAAGCCACAGTGGGGTGAAAACTTCAGGGATGGTAGCTCTCACTGAGGCCACAAGGTCTGCCAAGTTTCAAGGAGATAGGTACAGGGGTTTGGGTTAAACTGCACGTCAAACTGCTGACAAGCAAAACTCATGATATGGGTGACACTGTGTGTGTGTTCAGGCACAGGGGATTGAAAACTGCAGGGATGGTAGCCCCTGATGAGGCCACAAAGCTGGCCAAGTTTCAAGGAGATAGGTGTAGGGGTTTGGGAAAAACTGTACCTCAAGGACAAGCAAAATTTGTGACATGGGTGACACTCTGTGTGTTAGGGCACAGCAGGGTGAAAGCTGCAGGCCTGCTAGCCCCTGCTGAGACCACAAAGCCTGACAGCTTTCAAGGAGATAGGTTCAGGGGTTCTGGGGTCCTGCACCCCTAGCTGCTGACAGGCAAAACTTGTGTCATGGGTGCATGCGGTATGTGGGAGGTGTGGGGGGAAACTACTGCAGGAATAATATTGCTAGGAATAATACTGCCACATGATGAACTCCAGATCTGCTTCACAAAGGACATTAACTACAGAATTTCTCTGAAATTAAAATAAAGCAAGACACTTATTTTATATAGTAAGTAGTAAAATATGTGTCTAGAAAGATATACAGAGCAAGTATGCAGAGTACAAAGGAGGGCTCCCATTCAAATATCAATTTGGAACAGACTTAACAGAATAAGCTATTATTTGATATTGTCTTTATATTTTTGTAATTATTTTATCTTTATATCTCTGAGCTGTGCTAGACGCTTTATAAAACAAACAGAAATATATTATCCTGCCCCAAATATTTACAGTCTAATTTTAGAAATTATACAACTTATAGTTTCATAGTTGGTAGGGTCAGAAGGGACCTAAGAAGATCATCTAGTCCGAACCCCTGCCATGGGCAGGAAAGGATGCTGGGGTCAAATGACCCCAGCTATGTGGATGTCTAACCTCCTTTTGAAAACCCCCAGGGTAGGGGCAAGCATCACTTCCCTTGGAAGTTGTTTCCAGCTCCTAGCCACCCTCGCAGTTAAGTAGTGCCTCCTGATATCTAGCCTGAATCTACTTTCAGTCAACTTATGGCCGCTGTTACTTGTTACCCCCGGTATTGCCCGGGGGAACAGGGACTCTCCCATTGCCTGCTGGTCCCCCTTGGCAAGTTTATAGGCAGCCATCAGATCCCCTCTCAGCCTTCTTTTGTGGAGGCTGCACAGGTTCAGGTCCTGTAGCCTCTCCTTGTAGGGCCTGCCCTGCTGCCCCCTAATCACGTGAGTGGCCCTCTTCTGGACCGTCTTGATGCTGTCCACATCCCTCCTGAAGTGCAGTGCCCAGAACTGGATGCAGTATTCCAACTGCGGCCTGACCAATGTTGCCCAGAGGAGGAGGATCACCTCCTTGGACCTGCTCGTGATGCATCCATGGATGCATGACAAAGTGTGGTTAACCTTCCTGACTGCGTCCCCACATTGGCGGTCTATGTTCATCTTGGAATCAATAGTGACTCCAAGATCCTTTTCTGTCTCTGTGCTGACAAGAAGGGAGTTCCCCAGCCTGTAGGTATGCTGCTGGTTCTTCCTCCCCAGGTGCAACACCTTGCACCTGTCCATATTGAAACCCATCCTATTCTCATCCACCCACCTCTGTAACCTGTCCAGATCTAGTTGTAGTCTGTCCCTCTCTTCTAGCGTGATCGCTTCTCCCCATATCTTAGTGTCATCTGCAAACTTGAAGAAGGTGCTTTTCACTCCCTTGTTGAAATTGCCGATGAAGATATTGAACAGTGCAGGCCCAAGAACCAAGCCCTGGGGAACCCCACTGCCCACATCTCTCCAGGTCAAAAATGTCCCATCTACCACCACCCTCTGGGTGTGGCCCTCCAGCCAATTTGCAACACATCTGACTGTAGGCGTTGACACCACAGACGCCTAATTTTTTAATGAGGATGGGGTGAGAGACAGTGTTGAAGGTCTTCCCAAAGTTCAGGAAGACTATGTTCACTGTGACACCTGCATCCAAAGCTTTTGTGACCTGGTCATAGAAGGCCACCAGGTTGGTCTGACAGGACCTGCCTCTAATGAACCTGTGTTGATTGCCCCTAAGGATAAACTCCCCTGCTGGTCCCTTGCAGATGTGCTCCTGGATAATTTTCTCAAAGAGTTTCCCCAGGACTGAGGTAAGACTAACAGGCCTATAGTTTCCTGGGTCCTCTTTCCTCCCTCTTTTGAAAATGGGGACCACATTGGCCCTTTTCCAGTGACAATAAGTAAGGATAACCAACTATATGAGGAACATGGGGATGAAGGACTAATATGCCCATTGGGTGTTTATTTAACAGTCTGGCCATTAGTAAATACATAACTCATTCTGAAATTTTGGGGATATTTATTATTCAGTCACTTCTTGGGGGTCTGGTGCGTGAAATGAGTGGCAAGGAGATATGGTTGAAATTTTGCAATACAGAATTTTGAAGTGGACTGCATATGCAGGTAATATCATTAATTTAGGCACAGTGATGGTTGTGGGAGAAATGGAAAAAAAATAGGATAATGAAATTGGCAGCAGTATCACAATGCCTGGCAAAATGCAGAGTGTGAGGGAGATGAATGTCTGTGTCTTGCATTAACAAGGGCTCCATCCTGCAAGGTGCTGCACATACTGGCCCAATCTACCAAAATGCTTAAGATTTTAATTTTAAACATGTAACATGTTCCATTAGTCAATTAAATTACTTGTCTGCTTAGTTAACCATGTACTTGGGTGCTTTGCTGTATTGTGCCAGAGTTCTCAGCACCTGGATGGATC